AGCAACAAGAGAACACCTTGTATAACCTTTGACCTAGACTTGGGGTGGTAAAAAGTACACACAATACTTTGACTAATGATGCAGATGTATATGGAGTTTTATTAAATTATTTCCAGCAGATCAGACGTTATGGGCGGGACAAGAGAAAGTTTACAGATGGAGATGACATTGGAATACGTCCGCTTTGACAGATTTATAAAAACTTATTGTTCATTTTTTTAACCATTTTTGTGACGCTGCAAGAAGTGATTTCCTGTTGAAAGAGGCCTCTGTCATCAGGAAATACCATCACACTGAAAGGTTAGATGTAAAAACTAGAAGGCCTCCGTCAGAACCCTTGGCTCACTCACGCAGGAACATCTAGCTGTTGATTCAAAACAACAAAGTCCATGCTCAATAATCCAGGTATACAATCCAACATTTTTCAGTCAGGTCATCTGGACCTGACTGAAAAAAAATGCAACCCCCCCCGCCCCCCCCCCGAGAGCTGGCAGCAAGCGGCAGCGGTGTTCTGTGTTTATATGTTGTTAATTAAAAGTTCTAAAAAATAAACACAGGGAGCACTGATCCTGCTGTCCACACATCAGACCAGCCCACCAAGAAATCTCCAGACCCTCCTGCAGCCACACCGGGCCTGATTTTAATTCTCTCATGACAAATTCCTTCATTCCAGTCATGGCGTCAATGGACGAGGAGGAAGAGGTCGCTTGTCTCTTGGCAAAAAAAAAAAAGAAAAGACCATTAAACCAGACCAGGGATAAAAAAGGGGAATTTCATATATTGGTGTTGCATACAAAAGTCTGTTGCCGGGCAGGTATTGTGCGACACAGGGTACGTGCATGAGGTCGTAAAAACGTATCTTTGCACGGACATGCCTTGCGGACGTCCACTTTGAGTCTATTCCGGTCCGCGGAGACCTCTGCAGACTGAAGTATGCTCGAGTCTGTGGGAGCCTTAACAGGAAAAGGAAACGCAGTGCTCAGGGGAAGAAGAGAGGGAGACGGGCTAGAGTATTAGCGAGACTGAAGGCTAATGCTAACATACCGCCAATTCCATCTTTGTTCCTGGCCAACGTCTGCCCTTTTGAAAACAAGCTGGATCTGCTACGACTGAGAGCGAGTGTCTTAGAGGAGATGAAGAACTGTGCTGTACTCTGTCTCTGGGACCTTGTTCCACCTCATGTACCACATGAGATGCGAAAGAGAATAAAGAAACTTGTACTTTGAACTTTGAGTTTTTGGAGACCGAGACATGTCTGTGTCGTGCGCTAGTTTAGCACTACACTAGTGCTGGAAGTTGTCGACGGGGGTAGTTGTGGGTGAAGGACAGTTCAGTAGGCAGGGCGCTCGGTTCTTTTGACAGGGCAGGGCGCCCTCCTTGGGTAACGGTAGAGAAAACACTCATATCCATTTTAAGTACTTGCCTTTCTCTTGCCCTTCATGGAGCACTGGTCAAGGTCTTTTTCTGAAGGGCTCCAATCCAGCTACAAAAAGAAAGAATATTTTGGTTGATAAAAGACAAGCATTTAACAGAACAACTACATTCTTTCTTTACACTGCTGTAAAAACCGTGTTTATGCTGCTACTTATTTAGTTACAATGGGATTATTGATTTTAGATTTTGAGTTGCATTGATTTTATTTTGTTGATTGATATGAACATCTAACTTCACTTATCTTTACACATCAGTAAACAAAGCTGCATATTATTTTCAAAAACAAAAAAAACTAACTATCAAAAAAACTATTTAACAGAAAAGGGAAGATTCTATCTTTGAAAAGAATCTAAGATGGAGCCTTAAGGGGCCCGTTGAAAAACAAATGAAGCTGGAATATTTAAAATAGATTAAAAAAAAAACTGAAGTTTAAATAAATTTTCAAGAACAAAGTCAAAGAGACAAGATTTAAGTTGCTTTGGTTTTGAGATTAAAAAAGAAACCAAAGACAAAATTTGATAAAAACCTAAAACAGCCATAAGTCTTGTGAACATTATTAGAGACTTTATAGTTCAGAACAAATTTTAACAAAAATGTATTTACACAAATACACCATGACTTTTACTTTGGTTAAATTTCCATCAGTTTAGGCTGCAGTACATGTTGAAACTGAGCACATTAACATTGTCAGCTGTTTCTTGATAAAGTAGATGAGAAGGACTGAAGAAATCTCTGCTGCTGTTGAACTAAACAGCACACTTTGGACTGGTTCTTGTTGTGTAGTTTACTCATTCGGACTGGTTGCTGTTGTGTAGTTTACTCGTTTGGACTGGTTGTTGTTGTGTAGTTTACTCATTTGGACTGGATGTTGTGTAGTTTACTCGTTTGGACTGGTTGTTGTTGTGTAGTTTACTCATTCGG